GATTTAGAACAAAAGTGGAAAGTGCTATGCTTATAGTTGCCTCGAGAGGCCATGCCAGAAACCGAGGTCAGCTTCCACCAGTGTGAGTCTTAGCTCTGCTCAGCAATGAGCACCTGACTCGCGGAGGACACACCTGGATGTGGCTTGGGTGGGGCCGTGAGTTGGGGTAGGTGGGGCTTCAGGGATTCCTCTGGGCGGAGCCACCTCTTATACAGTTTGCTGAAGTCTCAGCTATGGAGGCGCTGTGTCCGCACACTGGGAGCGGGGAGGACTCAACAGAGGAACAGTGGATACCGCCGGCACTTCTGTCCGGGAGAGATCCTCGCCTCCGGCCCTCACTCTGACAACTGAGTGTCCCCCATAAGTCCTTGGTGCCGCCCACGCAGCTGACCCAGTGCGGGTGCTCAGAGGGAGCAGGTCCGTCCCCGTGAAAGTCTGCTCGCGGACTCGGCCCCTTTAAGAGGCGCCTGCAGCTGCCACAGCCACAGCCTCTGTCCCACTCAGCCGCTCGGGACCGGGCAGCCTCGCGTCCTCGCCCCCTCCTACCTCCTCCCTTCGCAGGGTCATTTCTCATTTCTCTCCCTAGTCGTAGAGCTTGTTCACCTAGATCCCAGGTGACTTTGCTTGCTGTTTGCTCCGTGTTTCTGTCACAAACGCCCTTTCCTCGCTGGAGCTTTCCTTCTAGCGGGGAGACAGATGAACAAGTAAACATGCGGTGTGCCAGGGTTTGTCAGTCCTATGGAGAGAAACACAGTAGGGGAAGTGCCCGTTTTACACTGCGGTTGGAGAACGCTTCACTGACGAGGCTGACGTCCCAGCGGAGGCTTGAAGGAGAAGCGAGGGATGAAGCATGAGACTGTCTCCCGAGTGTCCCACCGAGCTGCTCATGGGAGTGCAGCGGGGCCAGGTGGCGACAGAGTCCCGTGGAGCGTCACTCCGAGACGAGCAGCCTGTGGGCGCGTTGACTAGAGGAGTGCCGTGGTCGGTTTGGGGTCTGCAGGGGCCCTCTGGCCACTCCGTTGAGACAGACTAGGGGACAGGTATGGAGGCAGGGGCCCAGCGCCAGGCGGGTGGGAACGCAGGCGGGAGATGCTGCTCGTCTACACTGGGGTTCAGGGTGTGCTGAAGGAAGAGCTGACTTTGCTGGTGGATATGCCGGTGGGTTAGATGTGGGTGTGAGAGGAAAGGGGTCAAAAACGACCAAGTTATCAAAAATGTCCTGAGAAGACAGCTGGCACTTACTGAGATGGGGAAGGCCACAGGAGGAGTAAGATCGGGGTTGAAAATCAGGACTTCAATGTTGAATATGTGGTGTTTCTTGTTATGTAATATTGAAATATTTCCCAGTGAATAGATGTTTATCTAGAAAATGAGTGTTTCCCTATAGTCTCTGTGTGGAACCAAACATTTTAGCATTACACGATTCTGTTTTTGTTCTTCATTATCTCATTTGCTGAAATCTTTGCCAAGAAAACTCTGAGTTCTTTTAAACTCAGGAGTGAATTTTCTACTAGCTTTGCCACCTTTGCTGGGCCTCCCACTAGTTGTTTAGCATGTTATTAATTGAACCAAAATCCCCTGGGACAGATAATTTTGAGAAGGCCTTTTCTTTTGTAGAATTCTGAAATTGTGGAATTTTAAGACCTTTAGGGATGTTATAGATAAACTGATCTAATAACTTGACATTTTACAAAGTATAAAATAGTGTACAGAATGGTTGAAAAAGTGAGAATTTAAAAAATGTATTTGCATTTTAACATTTCAGGTGATCTTAGTACTCAGATAGCTCTTCAGCCTGCACTGAAGTTCAATGGTGGAGGCCATATCAACCACACCATTTTCTGGACAAACCTGAGCCCTAATGGCGGTGGAGAACCCAAAGGTCGGTATCTGTTGGTGCATGATGGGAATGACTGTTGATTTTCTTATGTCACTTTAATTCTCTCTGAAGTATCATAGTGGCTTATTTTTCATAGCAAGGAGTACAGCCAAGTTGTAGGGGACATATGTAAGAATAGAGAATGCATTCAGTGAGTTGTGTCATCAGATTTTCTATGCGCACACACAGTATCACATATGGTGTCAACTTTTGGTTGAAATATACTGAACATTAGGGAAAGGTTGAGAAACAGTTTTTAGAAAAGATAAGCTTTCACTTACTTACTCTAGGGCCTAGCATGAGATACTTAACCATTCTGTACCATAATTTCTTTGTCTCTGTGATACGGGGGTAATAGGGCTGTTTAGAGGATGAAGTAAGTCATTGTATGTAAAGTGCTTAGAAGATTTGCTAGAGCGGCTCACGGAGCTCAGTGGGGTTATGTAGACTCACTGGTTTGTTATATCTTCTATATGTTGTTGTCTAGTTGTATCTTGGGCCATATGACAAGAATATTTTAAGATATGTAATCTGTTTTATTGTAATTGTTGCCATCTTTTCATTTGTGGGTGTTCTTTGCACTTTTTTAATAGGAGAATTGCTGGAAGTCATCAAACGTGACTTTGGTTCCTTTGCCAAATTTAAGGAGAAGTTGACGACTGTATCTGCTGGTGTTCAAGGCTCAGGTTGGGGTTGGCTTGGTTTCAATAAGGAACAGGGACGCTTACAGATTGCCGCTTGTCCTAACCAGGATCCCCTGCAAGGAACAACAGGTTAGTTTGGCAAATTGTTACACATTCATTCAGGAGAGATGGTTCACTATTAACCATTTAACTTGAGATAAGAAAAACTATCGGTGTTTAAACTTACCATGTACACGTACTCATTTGAGCACATCTTAACAGGTGATACCCAGAGTCTTATGTAAGCAAAAGTACACTAAAAGAAAGTCCTCGGTATTTTGAAATCTTAAATCTTATAAAAAATAAGCACGTGTAATTTTACAGATACGTGAACGAAAAGTATCTTAAACATAAAATCTGCTTCATGTAACAGAGTTCATATCAGCTTACATTATTACGCGTCCTGAACTTCCCTGCACCCCTAAAGTTAGATAAACAACAAGAGTGAGGTAAAGACGCATGAGCCCAGTCTGACTGCAGACTGTGGCCTCTCTCCCTCTGCCGAGCACTTGTGGTCTCACTGGGACAAGAGCTCGGGTTTCTAGACTTCTCTGCCTTTCGGGTGGTTTTCGGTCTGTGACTCTATTTGGCTTAGAAGCCCTGGGCTGGGCTCACCAATCCTTTTTTATGTTGGGCCCAAACGACTTAGAAGCTTTTTAGGAAAAAGAGTCATAAGTCATCCAGCAGTTAGGTGGAACCGTGATCTTCGATGTAAAGAAGGCGAAATGACACCTTAACATCAGACAACAACGGTTCTCAGCCACCTTTTCTATTGCTACACGTCAGAAGGTTTGGTTCCATGACTCACGTCCCTGGACTTTGCATGAATCTAAATGGCTCTTTTGGGAAACTGAGATGCCACAGAATCTGTAAAAATAAGAAAAGATTTGTGAGCACTGACTGCTGTAGAGAGTCGGGTGTACCGGTGAAGGTACCTCACTGGAAAGGCTGTGATTTTCAGGTGAATCCTGACTGTACCCCCATCTCTCCCACTTGAAGAAAGCCCATTGGAATGAAAATAAGTGAGAGTCATGGCAATTTGTCTATGAGAAAATTCATTTGTAAATTTCACTAACTTAATAATAAATTATTAGTGACATGCCTCGCAAGTGATCAAGACATTCTGGTTGAGAATTGTTTTCTAGAGGAGAGCTATCATTTAGTTTGAGAGTTTTTTAAAATAAGTGTTTTATAGATATAACTAATTTTTCATTTGCCCTATTTAATTTCTGAAAACAGTATCTCTTTTGTCCTATTCAATTTTCCTTGTTAACTTGTTCTTTCTATTATTGTCTCTTAAATGCTTTGTATTCTCTAATATTAACTCTGGGGAGCAGAGCGAGTTTCCCATAACCCCCCTGACTGCTCAGGACTTTCGAAAGGTCCTCAGCCACCCCCATGAACTACTCACCCTTATTGCGACCCCAGTGAGGACAACCGAGAACGGGCTCTTGGATAAATCTGTTGATATTTTAAGAACAGCTATTAAAATACTGTAGTTAATTGATTTTCTCAAGTCTGTTTTAATTACTTTTATTACTTATTACATTTTCTACCAAAGAGTAAAGTTTAAAATCTTTTATAGGAATATTTATTCTTAAGCACATTTCCTATTTATATAAGAAACTGAAAAATGGATGAGAATGTTGTAAAGGTAATTTTGTACGTGTAGTATAAAGTTTAAATTGCGAAGATGACATGTTTTAGATGGAAATTTATAGTTTTTGCTTTTTTCCCTTCTTTCCGATAGGTCTTATTCCACTGCTGGGGATTGATGTGTGGGAGCATGCTTATTATCTTCAGTATAAAAATGTCAGACCTGATTATCTAAAAGCCATTTGGAATGTAATCAACTGGGATAATGTAACTGAAAGATACATGGCTTGCAAACAGTAAGGCGTTAGCGTTACACCGAGAACGTAAAGCTCTTTAACTATTTTTGTGTAGTAGTGCAGAGAACTGCAGTATACCCACAAGCTGCTGTATTGTAGGGTTTCTGACTGATGCTTATTCAAATATTCGATAAACATAATTTAGTGCTGTGTATCATTCTTGTTTTAAAATTTTGTTATTGGGCACTGTTTGAACATTTTAAATGCTTTGTATGATTTAGTCTTTTGATTGAACATTTTCTTCAGAGAGCTAAAATAACTAGGAAGTTATAAATGTCACCATAAAGCCATCAAAAATATCGCATCCCTATGCTGTTGGGGCCGCTAGGGAAGCCTTTGTACCCTGCTCAATTGCATTTATAGCGAATCTAGTGTTTTGTCCCAGATGTTTAACAATAAAATACTAAGTTTATCCCCCAAGGGATATTCAGTTTTCTATTGAAAATTTCTCATTTTGTGAGTAATCCTCTGTCTAGTATTACTTCCGGTAGTTTATCACCCAGTGGTCTTTATTTATGCACATTTTGCACAAAGTTAATGCCATTTGTCATTAAAAAAATATAACTTGATTGCTAATTGAGAATTGCTTTATTATGAGAAGGAAATAGTGTGCATCTGAATTTTTTGCAGGAAGAAATATAAAGACTTATGTGAAATTTTATTTTCAAACATAGAAATGTGTGTTGCATTAGTCATCAAAATGGATAAATTCGGGCCTAGTCGAAGACATCGGCGGTGTGCGTGAGGCACCGATCGCTGGCCAGGCTCTCGCCCTCTGCTTTCGGGCCCGTTCTGAGCGGCCCTCCTAGGACCACCGGGCCCAGT